CTAAGAAGATGGCATTAAATCATTCATGAGAAATCCACTCTCATGATCCAAACACCTCCCACCAGGCCCCACCTCCAACACTGGGGATCGTGATTCAACATGAGGTTTCGAGGAGACAACACCCAAACTATATCAGACGGAGATCTTGGGTGCCAGGCACTTGCATCCACCACTTTAAATTACCTTATTTAATTGTGGTGGTGTCATCATCTAATTTTGCAGACAAGGAACCAAGGCTCAGAGGAGTAAACTATTTTTATCCAAGGTGAGTCCCTCTCCAAGGGGCTGACTAGTGCCCCTCTTAGGACAGTAGCAAGTTGGAATAAAGTTGGGCATGCCTAAGGTCTTTAAGGAACAGGGGATGCTTACTTCCTTTGCATTCCTTTGGCCACCTACATAGCATACTTAGGCTCCTTCTGGATAGACTGTGTCCTCTTATTCACATGCTGAAATTGTTATACATTTTTAAACAATAAGCGAATAATATATTTTTCTAAAATGTAACTGATTTTCTCTAGGTTCAGTATAGATAGCCAGCCATGGGAGTCAGAATTTGAACTCAGATCTGGTCTGGTTCTGAAGGTTCTGTTCTTTCCAGCTTTGAGACAAAGGAGCAAATGTGAGAAGCGCCTTTTGCTCACTTCTGCTTGCCAGCAGAATTTCACAAAAGCCCGGGACTGTGAAGATGTGCAGCTCTTTGGAAAGATGCTTTGAAGACGAAACCTTTAACAGGGTTAGTGCCTATGCCTCTGTAATCTACAACCAGATGCACTCTTATACCTAAGCCTTGATGGGATTCTGCTACGATGTAACTTCTGAGCAAATTTGATGTGATTGTGCAGGTCCTGAAACTCCACTTCCTGTCTGTAAGCAGTGGACTGAAATCCTGGGCTGGAGCAGTCTCATAGGATCTCTCTGAAAGGCTGTTCCCAGGCTGTAGGCCTTGGTCTGTAGTCCACAGTAAGACTTCTGAATACAACTAACTTTGATTCTTTAAAATCTTGACTGTTTTCTTTAGTCGGCATGGCATTCCATACCATTCCAGAAACAGCAGCCAGGGGGATATGTGAAGGAGAGAGCGATGGCATAGTGTGTGGAGCTGCTTAGCTGTTAACTAGCGGAGTTGAGAGAAGGCAGCCGGCCAAATGCCCTGGAGGGGCGAGGCAAAGCTTTTCAGAGAGCTGGGAAGTGGCACTCCAGTGAGGTCTGAAGCCATGAAGGATGACTTATTTATCCCACAGTAGCTAGAAGAAGACAGGTCTTTCCGGGGAGTGTGACCAGTTTAAGCAAAGGCTTGGGAGCAGGAATAAAAATGTGCTGGGCCGGGTGCGGTGGCTCACGCCTGTAATCCCGGCACTTTGGGAGGCTGAGGCGGGCAGATCACGAGGTCAGGAGATCGAGACCATCCTGGCTAACACGGTGAAACCCCGTCTCTAGTAAAAATACAAAAAATTAGCCAGGCGTGGTGGCGGGTGCCTGTAGTCCCAGCTACTTGGGAGGCTGAGGTGGGAGAATGGCGTGAACCCGAGAGGCGGAGCTTGCAGTGAGCCTAGATAGTGCCACTGCACTCCAGACTGGGCCACAGAGCAAGACTCCATCTCAAAAAAAAAAAAAAAATTGTGCTGGAAGTGGGAAAGGGGAGCTGGTTAAGGGACTAAAAGTGATTCCTTGTGGACCACCTTCTCATCACACGCTCTTTGACCTCATTGTCGTTCAGTGGAAGGAAAGAGAGTCAAAAGCAGGAGGGAAGTTTCTCTCCAAGCGGACAGGGGCTCAGCAAACCCAGCCTTCCCCGCAGTCTTACCTGGAGCTATTGCCTGGGGAAGAGGGTGTTCAGCGCACAGTAGCCCAAGGCTGGAGGCACCTTTGCTCAGAAGCCCCTGTGGTGCTGCTCCTCGTGAGCCTCCTGGGAGGAAGGGCCAGGGAGCCAGGCGCTTCTCCCATCCCCTTCTGGAATCCTGGCCAGTTTCCATGTACATAACCCAGCTTAATCCATAGAAACAGGAGCTGCAAGGCATGTTCTTTCTCTTTTTTTCCTCTCCAAGACACGGAAACCTTTATTTTCTCCCTACACCACAAACCGGTACTGTTAAATAATATTGGATAATTGCACCTGTCGTACTCCCCATATTGTGCTGAGGAAAAATAATTGCTGGTTTTCTGCTTTGCCGTTGAGCTGTGACTCCGTCATTTGACTCGGAGCATGTCATTTTCTCCCATTTTAGACTGTGTACAGTCAAACCCTGTGAAAGGACTCACAGACAGCGGCCCTGCGTGTGTGAGTGGGCGCGGGCCTCATTCAGCAACGATTTCTAATTTATACAGCATTGAAAATCCACAGCTATAAATAAACAGTTCTGACTGGCTTTGCTGCCTACTCAAATGCTTTATTAAAAAAAAAAAAAAAAAGTCACCAGCCACTGCATGAGAAAGGAAAACAAGAATGTCTGGACGTGGAGTCTGGCTTCTGAATCCTGGGCTTGGGAGGGGGAACGCCCCACTTTGGGACCGGCTCAGTGCTCAGCCCCTCCAGTTTTTGGAAGGCCTGGCCTCCTCGCTCCTTGCTCAGCCCCTCACGCTCCCCACGTGTGGGTGCAATGTGTTTGGGGATTACAGTATATGAAACTGGCTTCCTGTTATGACAAGCATTGCAAGTGAGTAGGTGCGGAGGAACTGAAAATAGCTTAAGAAATGTAGGACCCTTCTGGGGAGAGAATGGGGTTAAGGCATTGTTTAGGCAACAAGACAAGTCTTCTACCCAAATTCAGAATTGGTTTCAAATATGAGACAGCAACACTGGAACAGAAGCATGAGTATAGGCCAGTCCCTGGGGTAGCGGTGGCAGTGTCCTTCCTCCTCCTGTAATGGGGACAGTTTCCACCAATTTGGGATCTCTTGACCACCTTCTTTTGTCCAGCTCTGCAAGATGTGGACACGTTTTTGTTTTGTTTTTTAAATAAAGGTTTTTGGATGACCCGGTACTGCTTTGCTCTGTAAGAAAGAGGAAGGAAACTGGGCTCAGGAGTCAACTATCTGTGTGACCTTGGAGTTGTCATTTCCCTGCTCCGAACGAGAGGTGTGCTGGAGCCAGTCTGCACAGGCTCTCGAGGACTGAGTGGTTGTGCACATCTCTTCCCAACTCTACATTCAGCAGCATGCTGCCAGCTTGAAAAAGGCCATGGTGAGAGTGTTTACACCATGGAAATGAGCACACGTTATCAATCAGAGCCTGACATCTTTTCCCCAGAGAGCTGGTTGTTAAACATTTCCCAGCACACCATC